CTGGTAGAGCCGCCATTTTTTAATAAAAACAATTTTTTGGCAATTTTTATAAACATCGAGACTTGCCGAAATCATACAAGCAACGAGGTTTGCATTCTTTTCTTGGTATGCAGTGAACCCAGTTTGAATTATGAATAAGGCAGTCGGCAGAAAAGAGGGAGATGAGATTCTTACCTTAATTAAATAATAATAAAAAGAGTCAGTCGAGAGAGAAAGCGAGGGTGGTTGCGGCGTCCCCAGCGAGTGCATCCTCATTTTTCCAATTAACCTGAATTGTGCACCATAAAAGCAGTGGCGTGCGAGGTCGGTGACATTCAGTGCAACGATTACTACGCCTTATAGTTCGTCCCTCGGCAATTCCGTTTTATTTTCTTCTCTCCCGGCCTAATTTTTTTAAAAGCCGTGATTTATCACTTTTACGCTCTTTTTCCTCCAGCGGGCTGGAAAAACGGGCGCGATTTATGATGCGTTGTATCCACTGGGCCCGTACAATTTATTCCGTCTGGAGAGGTTCTTGAGTAAAAATAATTGCCGGCGTAATAGCGCCTCATTAAGACCGTAATTGATCACCCTTAGCTTTCGTCACGTACTCTTTCCCTGAATTTTCGTTCAACTCCAAATCGAGAACTGAAAAGTCAGCAAATTGTTATTTTCTCATTTTAGTCCAAGTTCCAAATGTGTGAAAATAAGACAGGATTGCCTGGGCGTGTGAAAACAAAGGGATAAAACCAACGCCTGCAATTTTCAGCCGATAATTTCGAGTCCTTCGCTTGATAACGCAACTTTCTTGCATTGCAGAGTTTGTTTGTTTAATTAAAGCCGCCAATAAAAGCACCAATTACCAAATGATTTTTCACGGCGTCTAGAAAGTTTCGTCTAACACAAACAAGAGCTGCCAAAAAAGCAACGAACTTTTTTTTTTTTTTGAAGGGAACACCACCACTCTTCTGCAACTGGTTCTTGCTATGTTTGTAACTTTAAGAATTTATACAAGTTCCAATTTATCATTTTCATACACATTTACAGCTGCTCTGTCAATCATTCATCAATCAATTCAGAAACTCTGATTCAATATAATAAGACACAGAATCTGCCAGGAGGCTGAAATTGTTTCAAGTCAAGTGCAGGACTGGCCGCCGCAATTGGCAAACATTTCAGTTATTTATGCAAATACCAAAAGAAATCAGATGAAACAAGAAAAAAAAATAGGTTCCAAAAACCTCTGCAAAAAATTAGGGAAGGGGAATCATTCCTCTCAAATCTCGTCTATGAAAGGAAGGACTTTATAATTAATTCTATTTAAAGTTATAAAATTTAAATTTCAACTATTTTTTTATGTGAAAAACCACCTGGTTTCAATTTTTACAAAAATAATACCATCGGAATTATTGCTATTAAATTTATTTCAACATTTTAGTTTTTTTATCGTAACACAATATATTCATCATTAGCAATTAGCCTCTTCAATTTTTGCAGTATTTTGAGGAGTTGCATATGTTTTGTGTTTTGAAAATCTTGAATAAAAGGATGTGCATTTATGAAAAAGAGAGAGTTCTACTTTAAATTCAACATTCGTATTAATTAAATTATTTTTATTTGGCAATTATTGGCAATGGTGGCGTTCCCTAGCCAATCGTTTGACGCTCTTTGCCGTTTAATGGAGATATTTTTTTCTTGCTCATCAAAAACAAGAACAAAAAAACCAGCTCTTACCGGCGGACGCTTCAGTGAATTAGAATAAATTTCCATTTCGAGACGAGAGGCCGAATCGCACGTCGACGTAATTGTTTCCCGATAAGGGGTTGTAAATTAGAGCAGCCATAAACGTCTCGCAGGTGTTTTTCCACCGAATTTATCCATCTCGCGTGCCCTCTGACGGTATCGATTGGTGAGAGTGAAATGGGGTGAAGTGCGTCTGCTAAATATTGCAGCCGCCTTTGGCGCCGCGTCTAATTACGAGATTCTCAACCCAGTTTTTTAAGGGCCGCGCATAAGAAGTGCTTCTCGACATTGAAGAGAAAAAGTTTAAAATTTGCTGGCATTTACGACGCGGCCGTTTAACTTTAACAGAGCTGTTACGTACAATTTTGAGGGAGAATTTCTTTTTATATTTTTTGCTCAGGACGAGGGTCATTTGGATTGGACGTGCTGCGCCTGACGCTAATTAAAACTTGTCGGCGCCACGCGGAAAATTCGAGACTTAAGGAATAAATTTATTCGGCTGCACCATCGGCCGTGTAATATTCTCAAAAGGGCGCTTCTCTCCCTTTTCGCTCGCGTATAACCGCAAGCGTTCCATTATTATTATTATGGACCGAGCGCTTTTGCCGGAACGAGAAAAAGTCCCGCATGCAAATTCCGAAGCTCGAGAAAAGGGTCAAAACTTGAAACACTAAGCTAATGATGATGGTCGGCTGGGGCTGGGCAACGGGCATGCAAAAATCTTTGTTTGCGCACCCACGAGAGGTTGATGGCTTACCTAATGGAGACATTCAACGCTCTAGATGAAGAGAAAAACTCAAGTTGCGGTCTGATTTTTTTTCTCTGTGAATGAAACGCAGATTGTCCGTGGTCGAATTTTTTCTCTTTCTTTCGTTTAGAACAGTTGTAATGGCATAAAATTCAGTTTCTATGAATTCCACAAAAAGGATTCTTTATAGAATTAATTTGCCTATAGAGGCGGATGTGATTTTTAGCATTTCCTTTTTAATATAAAATGCAGTTAATTTTTAGAAATTTCTAATTTTTCCAAGTGTTCACGAATGGGTCGATTAAATTAGCAAAAATTATCATTGTTGATGGTTTTTTGTAGAAACTGTTACAAAAATATTTATATTGAAAACGATTGTAGGAAGGGAAGCAAAAAATTGGTAAGAATTTTGCTAAAACATCCGAGATCAAAAAGACCCCATCCGCCGCAGTGAGCCTCGGTTGACACAATTAGTTCGCTGTTCTTGCCACTAATTATAATAGAGTGACCACAGGTGCTCCTTGCAGAGGGCGGGGGAGTGGTCAACATCACAGTGTCTTTGAGGGTCGCCGGCAAATTGTTCTGTGGAGCGACCACTTGGTATGAAAAGGCCAACAAAAGTGGCTGCCCCATGGAATTACTTGCCAATATTGTAATTATTTACATTTAATGAATTAATTTAATTTAATCTTAGTCATTTGGTTGCAAATATTCACATTTAATTAATTTAGATTTGAGGTTTGAAATTTTTCAATTATGATCTTTTTTAAATTATTGCATAAATTTTGAAAAAATTATTATTACACAATTTAAAATCAAATTAAAATCAACACAAAAATGATATTTTTTTATAATACTGCAACAAAAACTTTCGATTGCAGTTAAAAATTCCAACTGGAGTAATAATCCTTTGACGATTTAAATTTGTTTGTGCTCAAATACTAGGAAAATATAAAGATCTTTCTTTTTAATCAATATAATTTCTATTACTAACATTTTAATTACTTCTCTTCCAATAATAATTAATTCTTTTTTCCTCCCGTCTGCAAAGGAAATTCCAATCAGTCTGTCAGTAAGAATCAAACTTTTTAATCACGATTCACTGCTCGTGGATATTCATTATTCAAATGGCGTAGATAAATTTTTGTCCGTAATCAAATCAAACCCAGAGACTTTCGAAGCACTTATTGAATTGACTTCTGTTTATGACGTGTAACTTTGGGCTATCTCCTTTTCCATTTTACAAAACGGCATGTCATTGTCCCGGAAATAATTCGATTGCGGACGTCAATCAGATGAATAAATTCAAATTACAGGCAAAGTTAATGAAACGCGAAACGAATGGTGCAGAGGAAAAACGTGGGAGGAAATTCGCACAAGTGACTTGTATACACATCCGAGTGAATGCACAAAAGCAAAACCGCACACACACGATAAATTCAGCTTCGATTGCCTCGCGTGTCAGCAGCGCAAATGAAAAACTTTTCGTTCCGCGGAACACGGGAGGAAGGAAAACACGCAGATGATACTGCCGCGCGCTATTTGCTGCATCGGAGTGCAGAGAATTTTCATCCCTCAACAAGCCAGCACAGGTACATTCTCTATATAAATATACATTCATAGAACAAAGAGAGGAATGAATTGCTGCGTTGTTTGCCTTTATTTATGTTTGTAGATTTCTGCCAGTTATACCAGTGCCGTAGCTATTTGCGAGACCTGCTCATAATTCATGAGAGAAACAACAGCAAGTGCAGATATTGTGCAGCCATTTTAAAGCACGGCATTTGTTTAGTTTTCTCTGTAGTGCGAATGCTTTGTTGTAGGTTCATCAATATAATTTTTTAACAAATAAATTATTTTAAACAAGAGGTTCTAACTAAATTAAAAATAAAAATTGGCCAGACGACAAATTTCATTACCAATAAGTCAATAAAAATCATAAAAATATTATTCATTTTAACAATTAAAATATAATATTAAATCATGATTGGAACTACTAATTAAATATTATTTTGATTGTTGAATAAGCAGGCATAGTTGAAAATTGACTTCTGAGACTGATCTATAGAAGACATAAAAATAGAATGAAGAAATCAATCATGCCGAATTATAAAAAAACTAGTTCTCGTTAAAGAAATAGTTGTTTATACTGAAAGACAATAAACTCTACCAGTTTCTTTCACACAGTCTAATTTCAAGATCCAATTTTATGAGAAAAAACACGTAAAAAAATAAAAAAAAAAAAATAAACGAAAATTGTGAACATCATTTTATAAAAATAAAATTTTGCTCTTTTGCCTCTTTTGCTTTAAATTTGAGTACTATTCTTTTCATTGAATTAAAAATTGAATTAGGAAAATCGATCAGCAAATTTCTTTTGCTGATTTTTTTTCCTCAAATTTCACCGAGAACTCTCGAGAAGTTTTATCAATTTGTTGAGGCTACTCTGGCTCCTGGCTCTGGCGATATGTACTAAAATGGCGATGGGTGAAATCGAAATCGTGTTCAAATTGGAAAAATCAGAAAATACCTGGTGCCGTGGCTGGAACGATGATCAGATTGAGGTCGGCCACCGCTCGAGGCTTCTCCGGAACCCGATTCCGCTGGGTTTTTTCGAAAAAATCACCCATTTTGAGACCGATTTCAGAATTGAAACTCGCATCACAACATCGCCTGTCTCCTTCAAAACACTTACTGACTCCGCCCCCTATTTTCTCTCCATTAACGCAACAAAAAAGGGCGCGATTGCATCATGCACTGATTAGCGACATTCGACCTTGCCAAAGTCATGTCATTGGCCATAAGAAATTTAATAACATTACAGAGTCGTGACTAAAACTTTTCATCTTTAAAAAATTGATTTATAATTGTACTGAATTTTAAAAAGCAAATTAAATGTGCCTATTGCCTATCAATGCCACGATGTGTATAAATTTTAGAACTCATAATTTTTCTCGGTTTTTTCCATGTTTCTCACAGTTTCTCATAATGAACGAATATTCATACTTTAGTTCATTAAAAAAATACATACATGATTTTAATGATTTTGTAGAGAAAAGAAAGAACTTTCTTTTGAGTCATAATTTATATCATGGTATTGAGAGATAAATTTAATTTGGTTTTTGCAAAATTAAAAATCAATTTCTTAAAGATGAATATAGTCTTTCCAGAGTGCAAGAATTTGAAATCTCTAATCAGTCGCTGATCAGTGCACTACGTTATGCAATCGCGCCCTTTTTTTGTAGTCAAGGAAGATAGATAGATCTAAATGTTTTCAAAAAGACAGGTGATGTTGTTGAATCGAGTCACGGACCGCACGGAGAAGTGACAAGCGGCGACCGTCCTCGATTTGATCATCGTTCCAGCCGCGGCACCATCAGGTATTTTTCAATTTGAACACGATTTCACTCGTCGCAAATTTAGTATTGTCAAGAGCCTCAATAAATTGATAAAACTTAAAATAGTTTCCTCTTCATCATGGAAAAAAATGAACTAACACAACGATATAATCTTGCAATTAAATTATTCTGAAACAAATCGCTAATAAAAAAATAAAAAACTGAGGCAATTCCCATAACTCTAAATTGAAAATATAGTTTGTTGGATGAGCAAATTTAACCGAATAGAAAAGATTGACAAAAATGGTACTTGTTCCATCAGGCGAAAAATTGCGTCTCTCCAATAGCATGATTTGGCCACTGCCCGTATATGCATAAAATCTTTTTCTGTGTGGATGATCCGCACTCTGGAAACCAGCAAAGCGCTTTTTACCCTTTTTACGTTAGCGCACTCCAGCACTATATTGAGCGACACACGCAAGCCGTATCATAAAATGCCAGCGAGAGAGGATGGCCCGCGAATTATGTGATTTTTCAGCTTGCACGGAACAGGTGCGGCAGAAATCAACGTTATAATATTAAAAGGAGGCGCATTTGAGCATGTCGGTGCTGCTTTTTATCTTCATGCCGATGGATCATCCACTGTAGATTATTACGACAGGTGCAAAGAGAAATAACGACCGACTTTGACCCCTGAATGAAAAAAAGGTCCTTTTCATTCACTCTTCCAGATTTCGTTATTTTCCCTCTGAAAAAGTGTCAAAAAAAAATGAAATTTTTTTATTTTATCAATATTCTGTGAACTCTGATTAAAAATTTCAAACAGTAAATATGACCTTTTGTGTCTAGATATTTCATTTATTTATGCTAAATAAAAACTAAATTATTAATGCTTGTTCAAAATATAAATATTTTTGACATGTTGCTTTCTTCTAATCAAGAAAAGCCGCCAGGAAAGAGAAGCTTGTTCAATTTTGGCATTTTCTTTTTGACAGTCAAAATGTACAATCTGTCAAGTAGTGACATAATAAAGAAATGGAAGAAAATACTGGAAACGAGCAGAAAATGCTGTAGTTATACAGAAAGAGAAATCTTGTTTTTTGTTGATAAATTTGTATTGAAGAAATGAATGAATCAATAGGGAGGAGTTAAACAATTAACTCCACAAAAAGCAATTCAAAGAGGGAAATGCCAAGGAAAACTTGATACCTATATTATGTACTTGATGCAATAGCAATAAGTTAATATTAAGGGTGATTCAACCTGGCTCAGGTTTTTTAATCCTACTAAGTTAGTTAGCCTGGGTTTGGTTAGGCTTTTAGATCGCCCTCAATATTTTTCCTTACTTTGAAGAGAAAAATGGATCAATTAGGAATTAGGAAAAAGTGAAATGATTTCTGTCTTTTTATGCATTATGTATTTACGCCGCGAGTTTTATAATTGAACTTTTTTTTGCTAGAAAAAAAAAACAAATATAAAAGTACTTAGAAAAAGAAAGCTCCCTCTACTTTTGGGTGCGATTTTTCTCATATTTTTCATAAAAAATATTTCCTCACTTTAATTCCTTTAATATAATTCTAAAAAATCCCTTTCACCCCAAAAAGTAATCCGATTCTGCGCTAAACTTAAATGCATTAATGAAAAGTCCTGGAATCCAATTACTCTTCACTCCAGCTTCCCATTGCAATTTGCTCGTCCTGCGTTAACCCTCAGCAAGTTTTAATCCTTTTTGTGTTCACATGCATGTACGCACGACAAACGCGCGCGTCCAAGGTTCATCGTGGTGTAAATTATTCCCTGCACCACCCACTACTTTGTATTAAGCTCGAATTAGCTCAAATCGTCGCATTGTTGTTGCATAACCCACCCCACAAAAGCAGTTTGCGCCCCGCACATCCTTCCTTCCAAATTGTTAATAACACAAAAGATGCGCCCCACAACAAACGCAGCCTTAAGCTTATTAACTAATTCACGGCCCTGTGGTGACATCCAGAACGACCGCGAATTATGTCGACTCCAAGAATAAATGAATTGTATTATATATATGTATCTCTGCGAGTAATTCAAATAAGGCCAATTTAGCTTTTAATGAGGAAACATTAAATTCAATCCGAATCCTACACGTGCGCGATTTTCCAAATTCCCGCCGAGCATCGTCCTGACGCCGTACCTGAGATGACCAAGCGGCGCGCTGTGGCCAAAACAGGCCCTCGCGTTTCTTCCCACGCCGCGCGCATCCCTTTGGCCCAATCAAACCCAAAGTTGAGCCTGGAAGCGGGACCTGAGAGCCCCGAAGCCTCAGACGAGCGACGCCCGAACCGCAGACAAGACCTTTGTCACCTTTTTCCGAGCAATGGTCAATGGCGACCACGTTGTGTAATTTCTAAAATCATTGGTAATTATCCGTTTTATCGTTTCCTCAAGTTCCGAACAATCAAGCTAGCTTTTATAAATCTCATTTTGGCCAGTACTGTATTTTATCCATGCTTATTTTAATTAAAACTTAAACTTTATTTTAAACTTTAACCACATTGATTTAATATTTACTTTTAATTCCTAGTCAAAACTAAAGTGTTATTTAAGTTAATTGCTTTTAGTCCAAGCCATTTAAGGAGTGCTTGGCTGATTAATTTAAAGGATTTCTGAGATATTTAAGGATAAGTCTGAAGTCACATGGGGCTAGATTTAAGGGATGAAGTACATTAAGGGCAGAAATGGATATTAACTTAAAAAGGGAATCAATTAAAGAATAATAAATTCAGTCTGCATTCTACGGCGGCGCTCGCCTCCAGCTCTGGTCTCGGGAATTAGATTTAAGTGTTCAAGAAGTGTTATTAATTAAAGTCCCTGTCGCATGTCACGACAGATTTGGTGTCAGGCTGGTGGGGTGATTTTTAAATAAGTCACCCTCAGGAACGTCCCCGCATCCCAAGCCAACCGGAAGCGCGTACAGACCGTACCAACCGCCCTTCAACGAACACGGGACAGCCATAGGTCACAGGGGCGTCCATACGGCGTCGGTTACTGCGCAGAGCCGGCGTTAGTGAGTCAGCGTGCGAGAACAACGAGACGGCCCAACGCGAACGCTCACCACTGAGGATTCGCGCCGCGACGTCTTCCTCGACGTTGCACGGATTAGAGAACAGAGCTGCTTAGTGATAAGTACCCGATCTTTAATTGGAAACTTTTATTCAAGCAAAAAGTGACGGTGGACTGCAATTCCGTAAAAAGTTTGTCCGGGTGCAGTCAAATTAAATTAAGGGAAGCTCTAGGGTGAGCACATTTATTTAAAACAAAAGGCTTGAGTAAGAGGTGCCAATTTATTTTATTGTTGTGGCAAATTAATCATTTTTGAGGGAATTTTGCACATTTTGATTTTGTAAACAAATTTTTGTACACAAATTGAGGATTTTTTTTTATAATTGTATAAACTGACTTCAAGAGGCAACATGAATTTCGCAAACCTCATCGACTTTGACCCCCTCCATTTAATCGCGGTCACGGAGCCTGCCACAGTAGGCGACGGAACGCGCCAGGAGACACAGTCCCAGACGGACCCACTCACTGGGCAAGGCACAAGCGACCTCCAAAGTCTACAAAGGCTGCTCCTACCTGCCCAGTTCGCAGCCATCAGCGGGATGAGCGTTCTTCAGTACGGAGCCGACGGCTGCGTGTCCCTGCGAGATTTCATCGAGAGCGTGTCACGCGCCCAGCTCCGTGTCCCATCGATCACAGAGGCTGACCTGGTGCGCACCGCAGCCGCCAACACACAGGGCATGGTCTACCGCTATGTCATGAAGCACAAGTTGTCCACACTGCCAACCCTCGAGGAGTTCCGCAAGAGGCTCGCTGCCGAATTCGAGAGCACCAGCACTCACTCGGACGCCAAAGACGCCTTCGACAAACTGAAACAAAGAGAAACAGAATCAGTGGATGCGTTCTACAGGCGACTTCTTGAGGCAGCCGACCGCATGATGGCCCTTCGTCCCAGGCATAAAGACGAAACAGAAGAGTTGCGGCTTTACCAAGTGGACGACGACCTCAAGCGGCAGTTTGAAAAAGGAATTCTGCCCGAGCTTTCGCAGGCCATCACTTACTCTTCAGAGACCACTCTGGAGGGTATGAAGAAAATTGCAGAAAAACAGGAGAGGCATCTTCGCAGCAATCGAAGCAATCTTCATGGCGAGCTGGTCGCAGTCATCAAAGAGTTCAAGGACCTGAACCTCACTGCAAAGGCGCCTCCGCCGACCATCCAGCACGCGCCAATGCAACCAGCCTTCCAGCCCCAGGTCGCTTCTGTGCCTCTTCAAATGCCACACCCTCAGCAGCATTCCTTCCCCCCCTTTCCGCACCAGCCTGCCGGAGGCCACTACGGAGGAGGCGCGCCCGCACCCCAGTGCTGCACCCCAGCTCCGCACTACCACCAAGGTGGCCATCCAGGTGTGAATTTCACAGGTCAGCAAGGCCGAGGCAACAACAACCAGCAGACCAACCGGTTCCAGAGAGGCAATCTGCAAAACAACCCACAATGTTACAACTGCAAGGAAAGCGGCCACTTTGCAAGAAGCTGCCCAAAGAAACTTTGCTCTTACTGTGAAAAATACGGCCATACCATCTCTCGCTGCCCTCTCATCCACTGCCAAAAATGCGGCGCCCAAGGGCACGTGTCCAGGGAGTGCCAGGCAAGCGCCCCAGGTGTTGCAAACAACCAGCAACAGCCAAAAAACGGCCAATGCTGAGTGGCGAGGACGCCGCTCTCAAACTCTTCCTTGACGTCAACGCCGTCCAGCCTCGCCCCGGTCGAATCCTCTGGGTCACGAAAGAAAACTTCAAAGTGCCATTCATGGTCGACAGTGGCAGCGCCATCACACTCTTGAGGTACGACCTGGCCAAGAGGCTGGACCTGAAAATAGAACCGTGTCAAATAAAATTTGGTTGTGCAAATGGCATGGGTCTCAACGTCAAAGGAAGCACAGAATTCAATTTTCAAATTTCGGGCAAATCAATTACACACTCGTGTGTGGTTGTCGAGGTTGAGCGCGTTGGCTACCAAGGCCTCCTCGGGCTGGATTTCCTGCAACAACAACATGCAGTAAATGACCACAAAAATAACATCCTCCACTTCCCGTGGGCCGCCGTCCCACTGGACGTCAACTCCGGCCAGTTCGAAGTTCAAATTCACTCAATCACTGCCCCACCACCAACAGCCCCAGCAGCCCCGGCACCACAGCAGCCCGCAATTCACTGCATTGTTCTAAAAGAAGACACAACAATTTCAGAAACAAGTTGCACCACAGTCACCGGAGTCACCAGCCTCCCTGCTGGGACAGAAGTTTATTTGCAGACAGACCAACCTGGAGAAAACTGTCCCGCCCTGCCGATGGTGACAAAAGTGGGCGAAAATGGGGAAATTACTTTTCTGCTCACCAATCCCGACAACAATGATTTTCTTCTAAAAGCAGGACAACTCGAAGGCGTCTCGCTCATCCAGCTTGACGAGACATGGGACCTGCTGGACTCCACAACTGCCCTGGAACGCGACGGCGTTGAATTCACCGACCCTGAAACAGTCGAGTGGGTCACAGTCCTCGAAGAAGACAAACACGAGCCAACTTTTCTCCCCAACCCCGTCAGCAAACCACTGACAGATGAAGAGCGCCTCAGCCAATTCAATTTTTCAGGAGTTGATTCCGAACACCTCGGGCCGCTGCAAGACCTCATTCTGCAGTACTCCGACGTTTTCGCTTTTGGTGACAAGCCACTTGGTTGCACCGATCTGTTCAAACACAAAATTAACACTGGAAGTGCTGAGCCAGTCAAAGTCCGCCCTTACCGTGTACCCGTGTCCATGCGGTCCATCATGAAGGCCGCCATTGATGACATGCTGCGCCAAGGCATCATCGAGCCAGCGAGCAGCCCCTGGAGCGCACCAATGATAATGGTGGCACGAAAAGGCCCAGACGGAGTAATCACAAAATACCGCCCCTGCATTGATTGGCGAGGGCTGAACAAAGTAACAAAGAAGAGAGTGTTCCCCCTCCCCCACGTCCAGGACATCCTCGATGGACTGGCCGGCTGCTCAATTTTTGCAACTCTTGATCTCGACAGCGGCTACTGGCAAATTCCCATGGATGAAGATTCCAAAGAGAAAACTGCATTTTCTGCTCTAGGCGCGCAGTACCAGTGCCTCAGAATGGGTTTTGGCCTGGTAAATGGTCCGTCTGACTTCTCCTCAGTGATGGGCATCGTAACTCGCAACAAGCCCAAGGGAATTTTCAGCTACCTGGACGACCTCCTCGCTGCAGCAAAACACATAATAGAATTATTAGAAAAATTAGTATGGCTCTTTGAGCGCCTCCGCAGCGCCAAATTGAAACTCAAACCGTCAAAATGTTTCTTCGCACTGAAAGAAGTTTCAGTCCTGGGTCACATTGTGTCCGGAGAAGGCACCAGGCCCGACCCAAAGAAGGTCCTGGCCATCAACAACTACCCAACCCCACAGGACAAGAAGGCCCTCCGAAGCTGGATTGGCATGGTCAACTTCTACAGGCGCTACATCAAGGGCTTTTCGCAGAAAATTGGCCCGGCCACGGAGCTGCTCAAAGAAGACGTCGACTTTGTCTGGTCGGACATGTGCAACAAGGCCTTCATCACCATCAACGCCGCGCTCGCCACTGAGCCCTGCCTGCACCTTCCAGACATGACGCGACCCTTCATCGTCAGCACCGACGCCTCAGGCACCGCCCTTGGAGCGGCCCTTGAACAGGACTTTGAGGATGGCCGCCACCCAATTGCGTTCGCCAGCCAAAAACTCAGCAAAGCAGAACAGAACTACAGCACCACAGAGAGAGAGTGCTTTGCCTGTATCTTCGGTGTCCGAGCGTTCTCCATCTACTTGAAAGGCCGCCACTTCACTTTGCAGACCGACCACAGCTGCCTCCGATGGCTGCTCGGCTTAAAAGAGCCCAAAGCACGCCTTGCTCGCTGGGTAATGGAGTTAGCCGAGTACGACTACACCGTGCAGGTGGTACCAGGTCGCAAAAACGTTGTTGCAGACGCCCTGTCTCGAATCGAGGTGGACGCCGTCATGATCGACACCGAAATCATAGCCGCCGTCCTGGACACGCTGAACGGCGATGAAATGATGAAAACGTGGGACAGAGCAGCAATCAAACTGGCCCAGCAAACTGATGAACACTGCAGCAAGGTGTTGTTCACCCTGAAACAAAAACCAGAACTCGAGAGCTCTCCGTACTTTGTGGACGATGATGGACTTTTGTTCTTCCAAGACCAAGAGGGCCCAAGGCTGTGTGTGCCCCAAGAAATGGTCCAACGAGTCCTCCACATGTGCCATGACCTGCCAGCTGGCGCGCACAAAGGAGGCTTCCGAATGTTCTATGACATAAAGAAAAGATTCTACTGGCCAGGGTGGCACAAAGCAGTGAGAGAGCACTGCATCCTCTGCGAATCATGTGTAAAAAGAAAAGGTAAAAACATGCCAGCAAATTTACCTAGACCAACAGCACCCATTGTTTGGCGGTTGCAGAGAATTGCTTTTGACGTAAAAGGACCTCTGCCACTCTCGAGGAAAAGAAACAGGTACATCTTAACCTTCGTTGACATCTTCACACGGTACCCAGAAGCAGCAGCAGTCCATGACATCGATGCAGTCACTGTCGGCTGGCACCTGGTCGACAAAATAATTTCAAGATATGGCATCCCACTTGAGCTGCTAAGTGACCGAGGAGCCAACTTCACATCTGCCGTAATAGCTGCAATTGCAAAACTGCTAAAAATAAAACAAATTTTCACTGCTCCGTACCATCCTCAAGGTAATGCTCCTCTGGAAAGAAGCCACCAAGTTTATGGACATTTCATCAACCAGTTCTGCCTAAATGGAGAAGGTGACTGGGAGGACAACTTGCCATTCGCACTGCTAGCTCTCAGAACCAGCCCAAATCGCTCAACAAACCACACTCCGAGTATGCTGATGTTGGGAAGAGACTTGGCTTTGCCTTGGGAAGACTTGACCTACCCAGCAGGGGTCCGCTTCCAACCGTCCAATGATCCAGAAGAAGTGGTACAGCAGCTGCAGGCACGGCTTGTCAACGCCCACGCAGCAGCTCTTGAAAGCTCAGAGGAGCACAAAATGTCCTACAGCTCAGGAGGCCCCTTGCTTGTGTTCTCCGAAGGTGATCTCGTGTTCCGAAAAGAAACTCGACCTGGAGCAAAAAGTAAATTAGATTGCAAGTGGAGAGGACCGTATCTCGTTCTGCGCCGCAGAAGCGACGTCACTTACGACTTAAAACTTCTCAATCCAGCAGGCAGAGAAAAGACAGAGGTCACAGTGCACGTTAGTCACCTGCGTCCACAAGGCAGCCTTGCAGAGATTGCTCTTGGCGAGCCATTCATATTTTCTGGTCGTCCAGCTCCACCTCCAAATTGTCCACAAGATGGATCAACCAGTAGTGGCACCTTCGGAGGAGCCACAACATCGACTAGGGCTGACACAAGGCCAGTGGCAGTCCAAGTTGATTCCGCCACTACTGCAAGAAACCATCAATTAGCAACAACAAACAAAACAGGACAAGAGCAACAGAACAACTTACCTGAAGCACGAGCACCAGCGTCGGGACCACAAGGTCCACCTCCAGTAGCACCCCAAGTGCCAGATCCAGTCCCACCACCGGACTTGGTCGACAACCAGCAGCAGCCACAGGCACAGCAAGGTCTGCTGCCAGCAGACAAAAACCAGGGTCAACCAGTTGCTCAACCTCCAGAGGCTCCACCCAGAAGAGGACGAGGTCGTCCAAGGAAAACAGAGCAGCAGCCGAACGCTGCTCCGCAAGCAAATCCACTGCCGAATGCAGCTGCACCTCACAATGTGCCAGTTGCAGACCTCTTGAGCCAACCAGAAATAGCTCCAGACAGACGCACCACACGCCCTCGGCAGGAGAAGAAAAAGGATGAGACCTTCGTCTGGTTCTGAAAAGAAAAAGAAGAATTAATTTAAGTTAGAAATTTAAAACCAAATTGTAAATTATGAAATTGCAAAAGGAAATTATAAGGACATGTTTAGAATTAAGTTGAACAAAAGAATGAGAATTTTAATTGAAAAGTTATTGAATTAAAATTGAGTATCAAAATGATTAGTAATAGTGTGTGACAAACTGAGATTGTTTTGTCCACGAGAATTAGTTTAAGAAAATGTGAAACGAAATTTTTATTGAAATGAAAATTAGAATTACGATAATTGGGAAATGTGCAGCCACAACAATAAAATAATTAAACTTTCCTCCCTTAGGTAGCAGAACAATATCGGGAAGGATGTAAAATAATATCTTTTTCGCTCGAAACGCTTAAAAGAAATTTGTATTTTTTTTTTCTCTCTAATTTAATTTTAAAAATATTGCACTGGAATCGCAAAATCAAAATTTTGTTTTACCAATCTTACCATTGTATCCAACGTTGAAACTCCTTGCAAAATATTTTGGCAGCCAAATTGCTCCGAGTTCCATGTCTCCAACTCGAAAGCCGCAAATCCGTTCAGTCGACGCACGAACGGTGACCACGTCACTCTCCATCCAAGACAAAAGCGCTAAAATCAATGCAATAATGGAATTTTCAAAACATGACAAATGAAATACTCACCTAATTGGACAAAAACCGGCGCAATTGTTATTGTTTTGCAGAGCAAGTTGTCTCATGGCAGGCAAAACACAAACCACGTGACATCGCCAGCCAGCAAGTTCCAGCTTCAAGCTCCAGCCAACCACCGACCGCGACCGTGCTGCCCTCTCCTCACACCGAAAGTTAAAGTTGAGAGACTGCACCGGCCGCCCAGCTGGACAAGTAAACAAACCAACCAAGAAGTAACAAACAATGCCAACGACAAACAAATTCTCTCACTCCAACCGCAGGCCGTGGCCGCTCTGGCCGCTGCCCCGCTCAATGAGACCTGCCTGCTTGCACAACAACAATTTCGCCACCAACAAGTAACAACAAAATTTAATTCCAAATTTAAAATGTATTGTAATGTAAATCTCAATTAATCCGTATATATTCCAGTTGCAATTCAAACATAAATTATGTAATAAAAATGTAAATATATTATGCCGTGTTAAAATTAGAATTGTGCAAACTTCAAATGTAACAACAACAACAACATCAAAAATGAATAAATCAAGAAAATTAATTTACGAAAAAAAACAGACGAATCAGCAAATAATAGGTTAAGATAAATTGACAATGTAACTCATTCTGCTCTGAATTTACAGTTGCAAAACTCCTTCGCAACAGTATCTTTGAGGTACCAGAGATGGCCAGACTCCAATTACCTCACGAGCACCATCTGCTGCCATGGCTGAGCGCATCTACAAGTTGAACTACACCAAGAGCGCCCTGCCAGGTAGCACCTGCAGAACCAGAGAACGACAACTACGCACACGCCAGTCACCACCTGTCACCTGCCGGTACCATTTGAAGGACGCGAGGGCGCGTCCAAGCTAAACGGGAGGCAGTCTGTGGTGACATCCAGAACGACCGCGAATTATGTCGACTCCAAGAATAAATGAATTGTATTATATATATGTATCTCTGCGAGTAATTCAAATAAGGCCAATTTAGCTTTTAATGAGGAAACATTAAATTCAATCCGAATCCTACACGTGCGCGATTTTCCAAATTCCCGCCGAGCATCGTCCTGACGCCGTACCTGAGATGACCAAGCGGCGCGCTGTGGCCAAAACAGGCCCTCGCGTTTCTTCCCACGCCGCGCGCATCCCTTTGGCCCAATCAAACCCAAAGTTGAGCCTGGAAGCGGGACCTGAGAGCCCCGAAGCCTCAGACGAGCGACGCCCGAACCGCAGACAAGACCTTTGTCACCTTTTTCCGAGCAATGGTCAATGGCGACCACGTTGTGTAATTTCTAAAATCATTGGTAATTATCCGTTTTATCGTTTCCTCAAGTTCCGAACAATCAAGCTAGCTTTTATAAATCTCATTTTGGCCAGTACTGTATTTTATCCATGCTTATTTTAATTAAAACTTAAACTTTATTTTAAACTTTAACCACATTGATTTAATATTTACTTTTAATTCCTAGTCAAAACTAAAGTGTTATTTAAGTTAATTGCTTTTAGTCCAAGCCATTTAAGGAGTGCTTGGCTGATTAATTTAAAGGATTTCTGAGATATTTAAGGATAAGTCTGAAGTCACATGGGGCTAGATTTAAGGGATGAAGTACATTAAGGGCAGAAATGGATATTAACTTAAAAAGGGAATCAATTAAAGAATAATAAATTCAGTCTGCATTCTACGGCGGCGCTCGCCTCCAGCTCTGGTCTCGGGAATTAGATTTAAGTGTTCAAGAAGTGTTATTAATTAAAGTCCCTGTCGCATGTCACGACAGGCCCTTCATTAACATCTCCCTGAAGACAATGTCATATATTTAGCGCCGGCTCAAAATTCTCTCCGTTCAGTAGAAATTATTTCTCTTCTGGATTTCGGACCCCTTGATCTAGGTCTAGAACCAAAAGCTTGTTTAAATACTACAGTGGCAGGATTGAAAGACAAAATTTACAATTTCATTTTTATTCCAATTCTGCCGAAATTTCCTAACAATTTGGACGAAGCATTTTTTGGGCATTTCTAATTTTACCCTACATTATTCACCCTCTTGCAAAAATCAAAATTAATTAAGAAACAGACCGAAGATTTTTTGTGTGACCACAATACAGAATTGCAAGCCTTAAAATGATGCAGACATATTCAACGCTTATTTAAGTTAATGAATAAAAACCAGACTTATTTACATCACCGGTGAAATTTAAACGTGGGCCTACCCTGGGTCCGGGGTGGTGGCTGGCGGGCGGGCGGGGGTGCTGAGGCTGCACTCGGATCAGGTGTATCCTCGGTTCACAAGGAGCAGAGGCAAACTGACAGGGTGCAGGCCGACGGCGCTTGGCCCGCGACGCCGCTGCCGTCAGACACCCCACGTGGACGCAAGCGCCCTCCGCCCTCCCCATATACGCGCTCCACTGGACCACCACTGGATGCAAAATACTCGCCGATTAATTAAATTTGCAAATCCAGAGAGGTGCAAACTCGCAGGTAAATAGTTACTGAGCCGTTTGTTCTCCACTGGGATTTTGCGGCGTTTCTACGGTTGTAATAATAATGCGCGCACTGCTGTGATGAGGCTTTGCTGATTTTTGTCCTTCTATATGACCCCTCTGCTGATTTTCAGGATTTGAATTATTTAATAATATGCAACTTGCATGCTAAGCAATTTTTATCTTTTACGGCGTTACATAAAAATTTAACAAATGCTTAACAAATTCCAAAGCAGTAAAAAATCAACTACTGTCAGTTGCATCGCTTTACACACTTTTTTGTTTCAACGCAGCTCGCTCTGTCGTGCCGCTTTTCATGGGCGATAAAAAGGCGTGTTAGCAAAGAGGCTGGCGAGAAAAGTTAACGTTTTAATCTAGCACAGACACGAAGAGTAGTAAAATGCGTTTTGTTCTGCCTGGGGTTGATGAGGACGATTCTCGTCATGCTTTTTTTAAGAAATAATAGTCTGCCTTTAAAACTTGCTTCTGCGGGAAGGGTGAAAACAGGTGGAATTTTTCCAGGAACATTGAAAGAACTCAAGGCGGATGCAGGAAAGTTTAAATTATTCATTTTAATGAATAATTAACCAAATAACCAGAATACAAATTTAGTTGCAAATTTCGTCTGACAAAAACTTCAAAAAGCCTACTTTTTAAATAAAATATAATTATTGTTATTTAATGAATTTTATCCTTGAGGAAATCCCATTTTGATCTTTTTCAAGGTGATATGAAAATTATGAGAATTTGTTTGAGATTTTTTTTTATAAAATTAAATGAAGTTTAAATCCTAAATTTTCAATTAATATGTTGATCTTTTCTTTTCCTTTTGATAAATTTTTTTACTTTCTGTTTGATTTGTTTGAAATAAATGGAGAAAAAAAATACTGTTTTGTAGAAGAAAGTCCATAAAATTAATACAACATTCAAAATTTCTCCATTCAATCTGAATTAATTGTAAAGAGAATTAAAAATGTTGGGCATATTATATTAATTCTGTAATTTTTAGAATCTTTGCACTACTCCCTGAAATGTGTAATTGGCAGTTTTCCAATTCAACTTTGTCACCAGAAAAATGATAGAATAGTTTTGTTTTGTTAAATTTTCATCAACTCTCTGGACCATATGCAGCTTTGGCAGTGTTTCAAATGCTATTGATAAAACATTTTTTATTAAGAAAATTTAACCTCTCAACTTTATATATCTCATACAAAATTTTAAGACCAAGAAAGCTCTCCATTTTTACTTTTTAGAGCCGTTTTTTGCTCCATTTATCTTAGCAGAATATATGGCAAAACCGCATTAGCTAATAGCGTGTCGGTATATCAGAAAAGTCTTATTAAAACAGTAAAAGCAACTAAACAGACTTTCACTCTCACTTATGCAAATTTTAAAACTTTTCATATTTGCGCAAGGCAGACAGCCGGAGTCGCACTGTATAAGATTTATATTCAACTCCATATATACGGGAATACAAACAGACAGAAATCTGGGAATACACCCTAGTGTCTCTCTCCGGAGACATGCAGCAGTGCCATGTCTCGAGATTTGATAGCGTGAGACGTCGTTCCTCTGCTAGATTCCTTGTTAGCGTGTGTTGTGAACTCGCAGGAAATTTTGCGTTTTTTGCCTTGTCTCTCTGGCATCACAAAAATTATGCAAATTCATTCTGCATTGGGATTTTGTTTCTCTTCACTCTTTCGCGTTGCTCAGTTTTGGCAGCTGAAATAAGAATAGCGGCAAAAAATAAGAACAGTGTTTGTGTGCACATCACTGACACAAAAGACACAAAACCACTGCTCTCCAACCCACACGGGCCGCCTGCAGCTGTTTTCCGCGTCAAAAATATAAATTCGACCTTTTGGGAAATCTGATAGAATAATTGTTTTTGACGTTTCCTGCGCAATCCGAAAATAATGCAAATATAACTACTACAAAAGAAAATCCAGTTAATTTATAATCAAACAAAAAGGAATTTCTCAAAATATTATAATTTCTTGAAAAAAATTTAAAATGAAGAGATGAATTGTTTAACTAATGATGTGCTAGTTGTGCTACTGATACAGTTGGATCGGCCATTGCTATAGAAGTTAAACTATAGATTTTGAAAACATCCAATTGCTGCAGCAATAAATTTTTTTTAAAAAACTCTCAATATTATTATTATTGTTATTATTTTTCCACATTTCACAATACGTTATTTACATTCAATTGTTAAAATATTAAAAAAAAAAAAAAAGGAAATTGCACCACCAGTAGAAAGAATTTTGCCAAAACTTTCGAGATCAAAAAGACCCCTATCCGCGCAGCGAGCCTCGGTTGACTTGGTTTTTTTTTCTTAGCCACAGTGTTTTCAACTTGTTTGAAGTTTTTTAATATTATCCACCGCAGTTAGCATCGGTCATGATTGGTTTACGTTCAATTGAATCATTTTCAACAAACAAGAAGAACGCGTGGAAATAATTTTTCAATTTACCAGCACTGAATTATTAGAATGTCTACGTGCAAATTCGTCAAACTTGCAAAGATCTATATAGTACAGTTCAAGGCCCAAGGGTAGCTTTAAAGTTACAAAATCAGCAGATAATGACGTGCACAAAGGAGCTCCTTTGAGCCGAGTGCACTGGCAAAAGCACTCTTGAAAGTTCGAGCAGCGGAGTAGCAAGAGTTGATGAGGAAATGGAAAAAGCTTAAAATAAAATTTCTTTATGAAATGGGAATTTTTTTAATCTGGTGCTCCCGCACATCCCGCAGTGGCCGTGAAATGCACACACAAAACAAAACGCCGCCGCACCGAGGCCCTCTTAAAAAAAAAATGTTTAAAAGCAGCGGTTTCATTTTGGAACTGCAAACTGGCGTGTGTGTATCTGACCCGGAGAGAAAAGCGGCGAACGTGGGCCCTTGTGTAAAATTAATATCTCCAGACAGGCGCTCTCTCGGCAACATTGACAATTTGGTCGCTTTTACGACGCAGTGGAGAGAAATAGCAAGTTTCATTACACGTCGCTGCCACTCGAAGTAATTTGAATGCGTGCGTACCCAATTTGGCCCGACTCGAGCAGCGTGGCGATCGAATCTCATCAATACTTACTCGCAGGTCCTTGGCGCGCTCTTGTCATCAACTAATCAACGTCAAAGGGAAACTCAAATTAGTCACCATTACGATTTTTGTTAATCACATTGAATTAAAATTCAAGGGCGTTTTCTCGATGGGTTTTTTGTTTTACTTCGTAAAAAAAAAAATAAATAAATAAATTCATCACTGCACCGTGAGCGACACTTAATTCTTTAAGTTGCAAAGTTTCTTAATTGATAAATATTTTTTCAATTATCGCGAGGCTATTTTTTCTGCCGGGAAAAGCTATGTCTATTATTTCGTGCATTGATCCAAAGGCAGCCGCACAGCGGATTGAGTAGCGCTAAATGAGCGGTAGCCAAAAACTTTGCCTCAAACGACCCATTAATTTCGGGGCAGGAGTTCAAAGGGCAGCCTCTAATGTGAGAACTTAAGCTTCACATCTGCAAGAAGCACTTGCTTGGAATTGTTACACATAATATAGTTTTTGTTCCTTCTCGCAATAGTAACAAACTTTTGGCACCGTGTAGTTGCGGTTCGGACAAGGAATAGAAGTTGATAATTTTGTTGCCTTGAGCGAAGGAAACTGTATAGTTTAATTGCATGGCGCCTGAGGCGAGTTAATATATGGTTAGGAGAAAATTGCGCGTGAATTAATTGTTTTCTTGGTTAAAGTAACTTTTTAGTCAAGACTATGCTTGAAGAAATTTCGCAGAAAAAAAAGGCATTTTCCGGTTTAAAAATATCATTCAAAGGGTTTTCTTTATATTCAAGCATCAACTGTTAATTTTTTAGCAAGGAACTTAAATTCAAATTTGTTTATTATCTCGATTTAATTTATATTTCTAGCTGAAATGTTTTGTATTGGGTTAATACTGCACAATCTACATAAATTACCTCCTCTTCTTGCCATTATTTTAACCTATATTGAAGTGATTTCTTAGAAAAGCAGTTTTGAGCGTAACTGGAGTGCGGGTACATCAAACAACAGCCCCTCGTTTCAAAGGTATCCTACTTGGATGCAATGTGTTGGTAGTTGTCGTAAATTATTTTAATCCACCTTCTACGCGGTGAGAATCTGCTAATCCAAAGCTGTCGTCAACGTTTTACTTCACAGGCTTCTTATAAAGGGAAGCTAGTTACTTTGCAGATAAACTCTTAAGCCATAAAGAAGTCTCAAAGCTAGTGAGCACAAAGGAAAACGACCTAATTTCCTCGAGTTTGTAAAGCTGGTTTTATTATTTTCTTATTACAAATTTAGTATTAAAACAATTGCCCATAGAAGTGACACATTTAGATTTTATCATCACACAGCAGCAGTGCAACACTGGGTCAGTCACATCTTATGTTGCCTTGGATTAGGCCTTACTTAATTCATAAGTACAGCAACACCGACTGTAAAAAATTGTGCCAATTTCTCAGAAATTTTTATGTACTCTGTAGTAAAAAAAATCAGTGCTTGACAATGCTTTGGGGGCGAGTGTAATGACAGCTGTGCTATAACATTTAATTATATACTTTAAAAAAAAAACACAAGAAAATTAAGATTAATGGAACATATTGACATAAAAACTACACATCCCTAATAAAATATTATGCGATAGTAGTATCTGTGATATTCTTTGTTAATCTAAATAATCGTATCATTATTATGCGCATTAATCAATGCAATTTTGACCCATATACCGAGTTTCATTTCAGAGACAAAATAAAAGTACTTCTTAAAAAAGACAACAAGAGGAAAAATATTACATGTTACAAAATTACATTTCAACAAGGAAAAATAGTAATATTCATTATTATATGACTGGGGGACCAATTGGGTTGAGTTTTGAGTTGATAATGCAGTGACGGAACAAATTCTTGCACGCACAGCTTTTGTCCATAGAATGTCTATTTGTGGCTTCAGGGCGCAGAGGAAACGCTGCGTCGTTTGCGATAACTCATTTTTCTTCGGAACCACTCTGGAATTTAAAAAATACAATTAATCATGATGATACTGACAGAAATCAAAAATTAAAACAATCATAGCAACTAAATAAATTTTATGAGAGGTGAACGCGGCATTACATCCAAGCTGATCCTCGACGGCTTCTTCACGGTCTGCCCGATAAATAGACATTTCAGTATTCAGCAAAATTTTTCAAACAAGCGAATTGGTGCCAAAAAAAAAAATAGCAATAGCATGAATTTGCTTTGAAATGGAGGCGATTTGCAACAAATTTTTTCTTTATGATACGAATAAACTGAAATTTTTGGCAGTTGCTCTGTTCAGGATGGATGTCAAATGCCCAAACCCACACGTTACAAACGACACAAGTGAGTGGTCGTAAAAAGCGTGCGGTTTATGTTTGATGAAATGTATGTAAACATGAGCAGCAACATGCATGAATCGTGATATGTACACATTGTGCGTTCTTTTTTTTATATCAGCACATCAGCAGGCGGCAAAAACAACCACCACAAGTGACCAACATTGTGCCCTGGACCGTGACATTGAGGCTCACTAACATCTATCAACAGTATTGCCTTGGGAACAAGAGCCAATGAATATACAAAAAAACTATTGACTCCTTTTTGCAGACAAAATTTCCACCCCTATAAGCAGTGGTTTAAGCAGTGCCACCTCAGCCCTGATTGATTTGGACAGCAGCAAAGCCTGAACGACATTTCTTATTCGGATTCCTACCTGTAAACCTTCGCCGCTTTACAGGCCTACTCTGTGATGGAATAAGACACAAATCAGAATTATTAACAATTCAGTGGCACAATGTTTGTCCAAGGGCTGGTGTGCAGTTTTTCTCACGCCCACAAAAAATAACTCATTAAGTCTAAAACGAAGACTAATAGGCTGAAACTTATTTGACAACAGCCGTTCAAAATATACAAAATGGCGCATAAATGACAAGTCTACAAAGCTAGAAAAAGTGATAAATTCTATTTTGCCCTACCTCAGATATGGAAGGCTCCAGCGACAGGCCATTGGTATTGGAATTTAATGTGGCATCCTGAATAATAATTAATTACAAAACAGAGCAAATAAATAGTAATTTGGCTGACCTTAGATTTATTTTCTATGTGATTAGAAAGCGCCAATCCGAGTTTGGACTCCAACTCCTTGATTTGCTGCTCCAGCAGTTGACAGCGACCGGCTTCTTTCGCAAGTTGAGCAGCATTTGCATCCTGCTCCTGAAATGTAAAATACAATAAATCAATATGCTATAAAAAGTGAAACATTTCAAGCAGATACAGAGGAATAATATGTAGCCATTCTTTAGGGCTGCGGAAATGCTCTATATTGAGTCAACTCCGTGGAAAAGATGGCCATTTTTATCTGCCCAATCGGAAAACAGATGAACCCAATCGATGGGAACCTCCGTCGAGAATTGGGTGATGCACAATTTCGGCATGATAAAAATTTGACACTGACCTCTTTAGACTGTTTTGCAGATTTCAAGTCTTCAGTCACTCCCTCAAGGCGGGCTTGCAATTCACTAATTTGCTTTTTAGCGCTGGACTCCGTCTCTTCTACTTTCTTTAATTTCTCTTGCACCTCATCTAGTCTTTTCACAGCGTCCTAATAATATTCGAGAATTAGAATTTTAAACAAATAATTAAAAAAAAAATCTTACAGCATTGCCAGCACAGCTCTCAACCTTGGATTTAAGTGAGTCTCTATCTCTGACCACAGCCTCCAGCTCTTCATCCTTGAGCTCGAGTTGTCGCCTCCAGCGAGCCTCCTCTTGTTCCACATGTTTCTCCAGCTTGTTGAGCATTCCCTCGGTCTCCTCAATGATGGTTTTGTAGTGGGTGACCATAGCTTGCAACTGCTTGTTTTGGCTTTCAACTTCGTCCAAAACAAGTTTGGTTGATTCATCAGCACTTGGTGATGAAACCTGTTGCTGCTGGTCACTACTAAGCTCCTGCAGATACTGCTGGGCGGATGTTTCAAATTGTTGGATCCACAAAGCTTGGTCCTATTTGTAGATTAAACGGAATAACTTATCTTGGTAGAATAGTTTGCATAATACCTTAATATCAGGAGAAGAAACTTCAGGGAAAAGTCTTTGCAACAGCTGGCGGAAGGAATCCTGCTCCTCGCCTTGCGATTTAATGGAAGCTGCATCCTGAAATGCATTTAGGTTTTATTCCAGTTTTGATAATGTAAATAAATACATATCAAGAAAAAAAATTATTTTTGAAGTTTATTAGTAGAATAAAAGCCACTTACTCTGGTTAGTCTCTCACACTCTTTCATTTTAGCCTCTAACTTTTTCTCGGCAGTTGTGGCTGCCTCCATGACCTTCCAATTTTTTGTTCGCAAATCCTGAATGGCCATGAAATTTGAATAGTAAGAAACCTCCATGCTCAAGATTAGAAAAAGAAAGCTGTCTACTCACGTCATTTTTAAGTCTTTGAGCTTCCAGTTCCTCCTTCAGTTTGTCAATTGTGCTTGTGTGCTGCGACTTCTCAGACAGCAATTTATTTAGAAGAGCATCTTTTTCTTCGACCCTGAGCAAAATTCTTTTGGTTACTTGTTGAATCCCTTAAAAACTTATTTCATGAACATACTTTTCCTCAAGCTCTTTCACTCTATGACTGAAATCAGGAACTTCACTAGCAATTGGAGCTTTGGCTGCCTCAGCTTTGAGACGTTTCGTTTCTTCCTGACTTTGTTTAAGGTCAGACTCAAGACTTCTAATTCGCTGCTCAAGCTCATTGTGAACAATCGAGATATTCTATAAACATATCAAAATTAGATCTTTGATTCCAAAAAAAATATTAAAAAAATTCACCTCCAGGTTCTTTTTCGAAGACATGAGCTCCGCCTTCAAAGACTCTTTCTCTTGTTCCTCATTGTGAATCTTCTGCTTTGAAGCATTTAATTCATTTCGAAGTTCATCGTGCACACTTTGACTCTTCTGAATCCTATTTTCGAGGTCCGCAATTGCATTCTGAGAGGCGGCAATTTGTGCTTGCAACTGGCAAACCTCCTGAAATTTATATTTATAAAAACAGCAAAAGGGAATATGAAAAATTTTACCTCTTGGTGAACCTGTGTCAGTTTGGAAATGTCAATTTGGGCTGCAGCACTCTTGAGTGCAGCATTCTTTTCTTCTGTCAGCTTCCTAACAAGTTTTCGCTCCTCCAGCAATTGATTTTGAAGCTGAAATTAACCAAATATAAGATTAATAAAACTTAAGGATTTTTTAATATTATTTACCATTTGTGTGTTGTGCGCATTCTTGTTCTGCAGGTCAGCAGTAGCCTGCAGTTGGTTGTTCAGCACTTGGATGGCATGGTTCTTGGCAATCAGTTGCTCCTCCAGCTGCCTCTGAGCAGCGCCCTGGCGTGACTTTTCGCCGTTCAGTTCGGCCCTCAGTTCAAGAAGCTTGGCATGCACAGCCTGAGCGCCCTGCTGTTCCTCAGCAAGGGCCTTTTCCTTCTCGGCCAGTTGCTTTTTAAGTCGCGCAACAGGGTCCTGACGGCCCTCCACCCATTCATGGCCTTCGACACGCTCACGGTTCAGCAGCTGCTCAATGAGCTGATGGACCTCGGAGCGCGACAACTCAGCTCTTTGCACAAGCGGCAGCAGCATGCCAAGGGTGACTGTCTCAGAGTCTTTGCCTGAAAAAAATAACAAGTGGCAAATTTAGTTCAATTCACAAACTTCAATTTTTCATAACAATTTGGTTCAATTTTGGAATCCTAAACTTTCTAAAAGAATTCAAATAATTGAAACAGATTTAAAAAAAAAAAGTATAATAATCTAATATATTGCCGTTATTATATCACAAAAACAAATTGCCAGTAAAAGAATTGTGGGATTCTTGCCATTCAGGAAATTAATTTGTTTTGGATGAAACCTAATTGAGGCACTTTATTTTGATAATTTAATGTGGCTAGTCCACATTCATTAATGCAAACAACATAATAGACACCAATTAAACCCAACTGGAATCAATTAATTCGCTTGACTGTTCAATCAGGCTGTTTACAGTAAGAGTGAAATGAATAATCATTATAGCTTTTGTTTGGCATTCCGAATGCCCCAATTCATTTGGCTGTCCAAATAATACTGAAGTTGAGTGTCGAGTTCATTGAGGCGGATGATTGCCCGCCAGCATGAGTACGTAAAATTTATTCAAAACAAATATATTGACGCAAGAGTGCGGGTGACACTGTTTCCAATTATTGCAAAAAAAGCACAAGGACGGTGGTGGAATTATAGGTCAACAGTATAGAGAAGCGGTTTGCCTGACTGACTTGATTGCTGCGGTGAAATGAATCGCTCGGAGACCGCAAAGCAATCTGCGAAATCCAAGTTCCAGGGCATAAAAATAAAATGATGGACGTGAGTTGTCAGGAGCCACAATAAAATCAGAAGGATAAGATTGCAAGGTAGACTTCAACGCAGTTTAATGACTGAATCGTGAACAATTAGGTCTTTGGTGTTTTTATTTTAAAGAAACTAAACAATTCCTGTTGCTCTCAAAATCTGAAATGCACGGAATTTTATTCCTTTTTAATAAGTGCCAGAAACATAATGAAAAATAAGGCGATTTAAAAAAATTTAAGCATTGAAATAATTGCCAATTACTAGAAAAAACTTAATTTGGTCTCTCAGCTCTGATAATTTTTGATCTAGGAAGTTTTAGCAAAATTCTTGCTAGTGGTTGTGCCGTTTCGGTTTTGTCAAATACTTCCTCTTTTTTCTCAATTGAATTAACGAATTTGTTAAAAAGTAAAAAAAAAAAAAAAGGAAAAACATGACATTTGTGTTAAATTTTCAGTACGCTCGTCGAAAACATCACGTCATTTCTTTTCCACAAAAAAAAGGACAATGTAATCAATCCGTCTATAAAAAAACAAACAATAATCCTGCTAGTCGCGCATTCCTTTTGTGCCGTCGCGAGTGGCAAATCGCGAGCAGCCTCAAGATAACATCCGACGGCAGCAGGTTTCAAAGGTCAAAGTCAATCGTGAGTCAAGGTTGCGTTTGGCGCCGGCTCGAGTGCGATTTCTCCGAAATCCAGAGCTCATTTTTTTTTTCGATTTGTTGAAATAATTAGAGGTTCGGCGCGGGTTGTCTGAGGAAGGAAAAGTCGGTTCTCCAAACTGGCTGTTACCAGGCGGAGGACGTGACTGTGTGAAATGCATGCCGCGTTGGCTGCTCGGCCATGGCGTGGGAGCTTCTCTCTCTTTGGAGCTTTTCTTTGTTCTCCACTCGCCGGGCCGACCGTTATAATCGGCGCATCTTTCTCTCTCTTTCTCGTTTTAACAACCGCGCCGCGGTCGGAAGCATCAACAAGTTGCCTCAAATATTTGCAGCGATTAGCGACGGCGCAAACAATCCAACCGGATATTTGCGTAACACGCGCGAGGCGAAAGCGAACGGCGGAAGTGGACAAAGAAATCGTGGAAATTAGCATGTGTGTGGCGCATGTGATGAGCCGGCAGTCTATAGTTCGCTGACGCATCGAGATCCCAGGGGACGATTGCGATTACCAAGTTTAAATTACGAAGAACAAAAAATAACCAAGCAGAAATTAATAAAAGCTGTGGATTTTATCGATAATTAATATTATTCTTGAATTCAAAATTATCAATTTATTAAGAGCAAAATAAAATTAGAAAAAACCACTAACATTTTTCCTACCGCTGAAAATTGATAAATCGGCCGATAGCCCAAAGTGTGGTAGGAAATATCCGTTTACCAATGCAACTAATAATTTTTATTATAAGAAATAAAATTTTAGACTTGCTCACCAAATGATTGTAAATTGAAACGGAGTTTTCCCCTTAGGCGTGTTTCTCCATTTTTAGAGACATTTTTCAATTTATACTTAAAATGGAATTGAAATCTAAGAAACTTTAACACAAAATCACTAATAAAAACCACAGAAAAAAATAATTATCATCAAAGTATTAATTTTCAAATTTTCCTTTTTTTTAACAATTTATCGTGCAGTTAGAAAGAAAATAGAAAATATCAGAAAAAAATTCTTTTATAATTCTACATGGGTTATTTTCTTTTTCAATTTGCTCTTCAGCCGAAGCCTCAAAAAAGTTTGTCCGTATCTTGTATTTTTTTATTATCTGAGAGTTCGAAACAAGTTGTAAGTAGTGTGTACCGAAGCACCAAGTGTGCAACTTTTATTCTTCTCGGGCGCACAGTGAAGAAAAATCGAGAATGTGCGGTGCTGGCTGATAAGGCAACATCCTCTTGTAGGACAAGAAGGGAACCCCTCTATCTTATCTCGGCTCTGTTTGGAATTCTTCCTCTCGCTCTCTCGACGCTCCAGTAACGCAAAATTTGGGCTGGATTCGCGGCCCACTTTCGGTTCGGAGAACGGACGTTCATTAATACAAGGTCACGCGACACTTTGCACCTTTTTTTTCAAAAGGGGAAAAACCGACTGCTAACGAGCGAGCTGCGGCCGGGCGACGTGTACGCCCTTGGGAATGAGGACTTTGAATGAGACCAGCCAATAACCTATTGTCGCCACTTTTGAATCAGCAGCATAATGAAATAATAATTATTTCTCAACTCGAGTGGCTTATTTGCACCAGATTAGAAATAAATTTATCTCGAAGAAATTGAGTTTCTTTTTGCTTCGCGAATCATACGGAAGGCAGGCGTCCTTGCCAGCCACCTACAAGGAAACGCAGCCAGCACCACACCCAAAAGGTGTCTGTCGACTAACTTGATATATTGATAAACTCAATACCGCTGGGAATTCCCAAACTTACAGTATCGCCTTTCTCATTTAAAAGGAAAGACGATCCAGATGAAGAAACTCCTTTAAAATTACAGAAAAAGATAGGAAAAAAATTAATCAAACTCACTGATCATCTGCTGGAGGGAAAGGACGTCGCCCTTCTTCTTTTTCTTGTCCTTCGGCACGATGGGCTGGACAACCAATGCAGGTGCAGCGGCCTGGACAGGCTGGCTGACGGCCACAACAGGCGCCTCGGCCACCTGGACATTGAGGGCCAGCTTGGTTGGCTTTTCGGTGTTGAGCACAACCTTGCCCGGTTTGATCGGCTCGCTGCTGTTGAGGGCCACCTTGCCCTGGGCCTGCTTGACTTTGGCCAAAACCGGGGGCACCACTTTGACAGACTTGGGCTTCGGGGGCAGCGGAGGTGGCACATCGTCAGCGTCAACTTCGTCAAGAGATTCCTCCTGCTGTAAAAGCAAAAGAGGAGGGAATTAATATGTTGGTTTTTGATTTGAAAGGGACGAATAAAAATACGGAAAAAAATTACTCACGCTTATGCTCCTCTTCATGAGGACGTCATCCTTGGGCAGAATTTCTTCAAAGTGATTGGCCACCACAGGTTCCTCTTCGGCCAGAGGACTGTGCTCCTCTCGGTTGTGCAAAATAGGCTTGACCTTATTCTTGCGCTTCTTCTTCACTTCATCCTGACAAGTAAAACAAAGTGATACAAATTAATAAATTAGCTTTTCCACAAATTTTTTTTAAAAACGACATTCAGATTTGACATTCTCAAATAATAGGGAAAACTATGAACATGACAAAAGAGTTAATAAAAGGTCCATCACCGTCAAGCTTTGTAAGAACTTCTACACACTCAGCTACTTTAGTAAAATTTTCTGATTGAAATACCTGAGCAGGGGCAACGACTGTAGGTGCGACTCTCTCACTTACAACTTCAGCCTCGGGGAACTTGAACTCGACGTGAGGGTGCATCTCGATGGGTGTGGATGCAGGGGCGGCTGGCTGCGGCTGGTCAACCTGCTGCTGCTGCTTTTCCTTTTTCTTGCTGGGCTTCTTGGGCTTCTTGGCGCGCGCCTTGTCGCCGATGAGGTCCATCAGCTCGCCGCCACGTCTGCGCTGCTCGTCCAGCGCCTCTTCGAAAGTCTTCTCTTTGAAGCCGAAGATGAAGATGATGGCCACGAAGACCCCACACAAGACCGTCCCGGCGCCGGAAATCAGAGCAGTGTTCAAATCCATCCTGCGGAACGTCCGAGAAGAAAAACAAATTAATTTGCTTATCGACGAAAAAAAAAATCAAAAAGTGATGACTGCGCTGGTCCTCTGCCGAAATGAAAGTGGGTGAAACGTCAGTCGCTGCGTGTCCGAACGAAAATTTGAGCACCCCACTTGTCAACTCGCCAGAGGAGGAAAAATATGTACGTGTCGGCCCTTGGGGCGCTGCTTAATTAATTCGGTCGGCGCGATTATGCAAGAGACGTGCGGCGGCGACAGCGACGGCCAGCCAGTGCCGTCGTCGCTTCCCACGGCCCCGACTCGCCCGCCGAACGAGCAAAGTACCCCACAATCGGCGCGAAATTGGCGTTCGCAGCGTACCTGGTGTGTCAAGGGTGCGTCGCTAGAACATCCAACGACCCTTTCAGTTTGCAAATCAGGGAAAAGGTCGACGAAATGCGCAACCAGAGTCGTCTGCCAGCCCACCACGTACACTAACTTCGGTTCACTGACCGCGTCGTGCGTTCTCAATTGGAAGGGGAATGTTGAGAAGACGGAACGCAGTGGAATCATCGATCATTGCGGAATGGAAAACGGAACGAAATTAATGCAAATTTCTCAAACTTAATATAAGAAGATGCGAAATCTCCATTTTTTATTTGATGATTTGTTCCTTCCGTAAAGGTTTTAGTGTTAAAGATGGTGTCGAGCGCAGCGTCTCAAATTTAAACTGTTTCACATCACAACAACAAAATAACAACAAAACACATATGAAACGTTTTCTCGTCGTAGTTGCATTAAAAAATGTGTTGAATTTTGAAAATTCTATTATGTTCTCTGGAAGTTTTCCACCTTAAACTGCAGTCCTGATAGCAGCTAATTCCATAACTAAAATGGAAAGTATTTACGTGGAGATTGACAGCTCGGAGGACGGCGACTGCTCAAAATTAATAGAAAGGTTTTGCGATCAAAAATACTGTTGAAAGTGCCCATGCTATTATTTTTATCAATTTTAGGTGTAGCGGCGCTGACTTTAACTCTTATTTAGAACCGTCAGTTGAGGTCCACATTAATGAAGAGGACGAGATTCAAGATGACACGGCAATGCCAATTTTTGAGGTCTCGATGAATAATGGTGAATGTTTAAATTATTTTTTTAAGAAGGAATAATTTTAAATAAATATCTTATGTTAAATCTCAACATTGCCACATGTATATAATTATTATTTATTACCATATGCAATTAATGGCAAATGAATCATTTTACAGATTTGGATGTCATAAATGTTAATGACCTAGAAGAGATAACTGAGGACAAACTCTGTTTTAAACTTCCATATTCTGGTTTTCCGTCACTATGTGAGGCAGACGTCAAATCCATCGATCTCTGCAGAATATGTGGCTCTCCGAAAAATGCGAAGCTTGCTATATTTAGTGAAGAAGGTCGCAAAAGGAATTTGTGTGAAAAAATCCACAAACATTTGCCGATTAGAGTTATGGAAAGCGACAGACTCCCTTTGCAAATTTGCTTAGTATGTGTGACCTATTTGGAAATGTGTCACCAGCTGGTAAAATGTTGCGGAGAAACGGAGCAAAGACTGAAAGAGCTGGTTTCCAAAGAAGAACTGGAGGAAAGCAACCAAGTACATAATTTTTAACTTAGTATACAATTTATCTTTTTACTTTAAAATTTTACTTATAGAAAATTATTGAGACTGGACTAGAGTGCTTAAATACTCCAGAATCTGTCACTGCTGTGACATGCATGTCGCAAGAAGAACACAAACTTCCTTCAGGGCTGGATTTTGCAAACCTAAAATCAAAGGTTGTTGTAAATTTTTTGTCCAGCACATCCTTTCTATTCATTTTTAAAGGTAGCGGAAAAATCTACTATTAAAGTTGTTGTTGTGAGGCTTCATGGTTCTGATGACAAAACAAATGATAATTCAATACCAGAAAATGGGTAATGCCATTTTATAAATAATGCTTAAAATCCTTAATAATTGAGACAAAGTAGGTCGTCCTTGCTGGCAGATTCTCATGAGCTCTTCCTATGCACAGTGTGCAATGAAAACATTCAGGGCGTTGAATCTGTTGTGAAACACCAGCGCGACGTTCACTCAATTGAAATGAATTTCTGTCAGTGGTGCAAAGAACTGTTTGATTCACAGCAAGTATTGGAATCGCATCAGCTTGAAAAGCACCTTGGCGAATGGCTGAAAGTAACAAACGTTGCTGAAATTCAGCTGTTGAGAGAGGGTTCCATGAAAATGTCCAAAGAATTCAACCAAATGGAAAAGTCTCTGCAGAGCAAAATAGTGGACGCTATTCAGGCTATGGTTGGACAACAGAATTTGAAGGAAACGGGTACAGCTACGTGTAGACTTTGCAGACAGACCTTCAGCAGTTTGGCACTGCTGCAAGAGCATCATGCGAAAGCTCATGAAGATCCGAAAGGCTTTACTTGTCACTACTGCCAAAGCAATTTTTACACAAAACGAATGCTATTACGTCACATAACTGAGCATTCAGAATATAAAGGTTTTCGGTGAGATTACACTTAAATTATTTTCTAAAAAATTTTGACATGACCTTTTTGCAGATGTACAGAGTGCCTGCGGGCCTTTAACACCAAAACTGGCTACAATATACACATGCGAACACATAGTGAGGAGAAACCATACATGTGTCCCGAGTGTGGAAAAACATTTAAGCACAGCTCGAATCTGCGAGCTCATGAAAAGTCTCACTTGCCGGACGACCAAAAGAAGAGATTCAAGTGCCCTCACTGTGAAAAGACTTACCGATGTCAATTTTTGGTGGACGAACACTCGAGGACGCACACTGGAGAGCGGCCGTTTTCCTGTGACGTTTGCTCCAAAAGTTTCCACCGCAAGCAGCAGTTGTCTCAGCATTTGCTGGTGCACAGAACTGATCTCACGTTTGAATGCCACTTGTGTGGTTCAAGGTAATGATTCCTGCTCATTTATTAAAGTTTGGTTTAATATTTTTCTGTGAATAGATTTAACCGAAAGGGCAATTTAAATGAGCACATGAAGAAACACATATATAAAAACAAGTATGTTTGCAAAATTTGCAAAGAGACGTTCGACACTATTAGCGAAGTGGTTGCTCATCGCAAAGGCCATACCAATGAAGAACTTGCACAGGACAAATCGGAATCGACCGTTCGCCAAACTGAAGCTCGCTTTGAATGTGAATTTTGCAAGAAGTTCTTGGCCACAAAAACATCCTTAGCTGCTCATGTTCGGATACATACTGGTGAAAAGCCATTTGAATGTGACACTTGTGGCAAGAAGTAAGATTGTTTAGCACAAGTTAGAAAAAAAAACTAAATCAATTTTTCAAGGTTCTCGCAAAAGCCAGCTCTAACGTACCATCGGAAAAAGCACTCGGTCGAAAAACCTCATCGGTGCACTTATTGCTCCGAGGGATTCATTACAAGAACAGCAAGGATTGTTCACGAGCGCATCCACACCAATGAAAAACCCTATTCTTGCCAATACTGTGGAGCTTCTTTTCGAGGGTCTGGCAGCCTAAACCAGCACTTAAGTGTGCACAGTGATGATAAGCGCTTCAAATGCAGCCACTGTACCAGTTCTTTTCATAGGTGGGTGTTGGCTAGTTAAGCCCATTTCAGTTGTATTTTATTTTGTGATCTTAGGAAGGAATCTCTTCAAATACATGAAAGGATCCACACCGGATTGAAGCCTTATGTTTGCGATCTCTGCGAGAGAGCATTCAAACAAAGAGGGGATTTGACCAAGCACAAGAAGACTCACTCCAAGACCATAAGACAACACATATGCCGTATGTGTGACTTTGTGTGCACTAACAGGAAAACCATGAAGAAGCACGAGGCCACCCACTCAGTCGAGGATGTAGCTATGGTTGCAGGAACTCTAATAACAACTTTCCCGGAAATTACAATTGAAGACGGACATTGTGAAATCATGTTAGATGAGGGAGTAATTGAAGTTGAGCAAATTCAATTACAATCTTAATTATTAAACTGTTACAAGCAAAATTTCAAGTCCATGACGTTTCATTTTTCTGTAAAAAGCCATCAAGGTTTTATTTGAAAATTACTTTATTGACGAGCTTTAAAAAATTTTAAAATTTCATGAACATCAAAATTGAGATCAAACAACTACTTCAACAATTAAATCATCATTTGGCACAGAAAGCGAAACAAACTCTGAATTTCTGACAGCTTCAAAAACTGGGGCCACTAATGTGACCGAATGCTTCTTTTGAAAGTGCCTCCTAAGTTCCTTTTTGCTAGAAAATGAAATATTACAGTCCAAACAATAAACTAATTGCTTCTCGTGTCGACGTCGATGCTTATCCAATGTTGACTTGTGTGCAAAGGTGCGGCCACACAAATCACATATGACCCTCTTGTCCCCTGTGTGCGTCCTCTCGTGAGTCGTCGTGGCATGTCTGGTGCGGAATTTCTTGCCACAAAACGAGCAGGCAAAAAGAGGCTCTTCGCTGTGCGTATTCTTATGTCGCCCAAGAACTCCGATCGATCTAATATTTATTTGAGAATCAGAAAATGTCTCTAGATTAAGTATACACTAACTACCTAAAGCCAAGACCACAGACTTCGCAGATGTAGGGCCTTTCGTTGGTGTGCATTCTGGTGTGGGTGTCCAACTGCCGTTGCGTGTTGAATCTTTTGCCACAGGTAGTGCAGGCATAAGGTAGCTCTCCCATGTGAAGACGTAAATGGTAGCGCAGTTTGATTTCTTGTCTGAAATGTTTTCCACACTCCGAACACTCGAAAGGCTTCTCGCCTCTGTGTATTCTCATGTGAACCTTGAGACTAGCTTTACTTCCTAACACCTTCTTGCAGACTTCGCAAGTCTGCAGATTCTTTTTTCTTGGCGTCTCACCAAGCTTATGCTCTTTTTCCTCCTTTGTGTGCTGGTTTCGGTGCAAAAGCATTTCATCTTTGTTCTATCAAAGCAAAAGATTTTAATTGATAAGGACATTTCTTGAAAAATTAAGCTTAAATAATTAATTACCCGGAAAGAAGTATTGCAGATGTAACATGAGTAGAGGCGCTGATCAGTGTGGCTGCTTTCGTGGCCCTTCAAACCAAATCGGCTCTTGAACAACCTCCCACAGACTTTACACTGGTACAACCTTTTTCTGCCCTTTCCTGATGTGTGCCACAGAATGTGATATTGCAGAACTTCGAGGTTGGAGAAAGTGGCGCCGCACATGTCACAAATGTAAGGGCCGTCGTGTAGAGACTGGTGTTGCTCCTGCTCCTTGGTATTGGCAAACCAACTATTGCAAAAATAGCAAACCAGAGGGCTGCAGTTGTGAGATTTCAAATCATCAGCTGAACCAAACGTTTTTCTACACTTTTCGCACATTAAACTTTTAGCACACGCTTTGACGTCATGAGATCGGCTTTTCTTGTGCATGTGCAGTTTCTTGAGGGTGCTGAACGTCATGTTGCAAACAGTGCAAGTGTGCCCCTCTTGCTCTTCAGTCTTGTCAATCTCATAAAACCGCTTCTGGGTTCTTGAACGAGAACTCCTTCGAACGCCATCAGCCTCTGATTCTGACTTTGCCGACGACAGACTGTTCAATGACTTAGTAATTTCTACGTCGATATTGCTTTTTATCACTGAAATAAAAATTATTTCATAATGATTCTTTGATGAATTCATAACAAAATTTGTTCTTACCTCTCTCAATGGCAGATTGCTCATGCTTGCCAGACATGCTACGAAAAAAATATTTTAATTTCCAGATAAATATGCAATTTTATTTTTGGTAAATTACTTTAATCCTTTGGATTTTTGGATGCCATCATTTCCAATGGGCACATTTACAAGGACAAGACTTTGTTCTGTTTCCTTCTTGATCTGCATTTTATGGTAAAAATTAGAACTTCTCCTACATAATAAAATGTATATGCTTACAAAGGGGTCTCCTTTTGGTAAAATAACTGTTATCCTAGAATTATCAGCATCCGGAATCATTTCGTAAGATCCCTAAAAATAATCAATTTTAATCCAGATTTTCCAATTTCAGTGAAAATGTACCTTAATTTCTGTATCAATGTCAGATCTCATTTCCATTATATTTTGATTTGCGTATGTTGCATCCAACATATTTTCGTCCGCACTTTCACATTCCTGCTCTGTTGATATCTATAACAATTAAAGATTTTTTTTTTGTAATTTCATTAAAAATTTCTTACATCTGGATTTTTCTTTTCGTATTCAAGCTGAGTTTTGAGTGCGCGGAGCCGCTCGTTGGCTTCTTTGCTGATATTGTAGAGACTATCGCAGATTGATATTTTTGAGGCGCATAAAACACACGCAAAGTCTGGGTAACCATCGTTTTCTTCTATCTATAATAAATTACAGATTGGTTAAGTGACCTAAATGAATAGTTTTTTGGAGAAAAATAATATTACCAACAGGGACAGATGATTTGAAATTTTCTCTATTAATTTGAGTCTAGTGCCGTCTGCTCCAAAAAATTGAATCCTCCGAGACTTCGTGCACGGATTGGCACAAACGCGGCACAAATCCATGAAGGAAACCTCCAACGCGTAATCCACCATTTTGCATCACTAGCTGGGCCTAGAAATTTAAATAATATTTCATTTTTAATTAAATTAATTAATTATGAAAAAAAATGTTCTCAAGTTAAAATTTTATTTCTAAGCATGAATTACTTAAAATTTAAGAAATGAAAAAAATCTGAAACAAAAAATAATAATTTCCTAATGATTTTGTCAAGAAAAATTAAAATCTAAAATTAAAAATCCAGATTTTGACTTGTTTCCCTCCATGTTAGTTTTGGTACCAAAAAAGCTCGAAATTTATAATGTTGGTATGGTTGTTTCGGTGATCATTTTGGTACGACCGAGACCGACAAAAGACCAGACTCCAGTCAATAAACTAATGAAAATAGATATTGCTAATCCGCATCAAAACTTTGCAGACATTCCTTTAGGATTAAAATTTTTGAAAATGAGTATTCCTCAGGGTATAATTAAAAAGTTTTGCATGTTAATTTTTCTGTTTTTATATGTCAATTTATATTGTCAATGAGGATGAGGTAAAAAAAATTTAATTAAAATTTTTTTTCCAGAACTTGAAGGAAAAGTAGGGATTGAGAATGAAAATTTAAAGCCCCTGTTGTGGCTCATCGGACGGTGGAAGAGTGAAAGTGGCGTTGGAACGTTCCCGACAGTCAGCCCATTTGAATATGCAGAGGAGATCGAGTTCTTTTCTCTGGGCCAACAACCCTTGCTCAATTACGCAGCCTATTCATTCAAACCCGGCGCAAATGTTCCCATGCACTGCGAAAAAGGGTTTCTAAGGATCAAGCCAGGCACCAACTCCATTTCTTTCATGGTTGCTCACAATTTAGGTACAATTTATCAATTAAATTTTTTTTTATCTTCACATTCAATAATTTATATAAAAAAATGATAGGTTTGGCGGTGCTGGAAGAAGGAGAAGTTGCCGGCAACGAAATAAATCTTGAAAGCAAGAACATTGGGCGAATGTCCTTTGCTAAAGATCCAGAAGTGACAAAGGTTTGTAAAATTGAAAATCTCCGACTAACAATAATTTAATTAATAAAATTTGCTGCCTTTTAGTTGAAAAGATGCTTTAAACTCGAGGGAGATGTGCTGGAGCAAATTGTTCACATGCAAACATCCAAAACGGAGATGAGTGAGCATTTGGTGGCCAAGTACAAAAAGATGTAAATTTTCCAGTATGTATTATATTTTTCCTGCAATTTTATAAGTTTGCTTCGGCTCTAATAAAGATTATGATTATTAAATGGAAAATGTTTGGACTTCTTTCAAATATAATACGATTAAGAAAATTTCCCCAGAATTTTAAATTGTAAGTTAGGAGATGAAAAATTAAATTTAATACAAATAATCAAGCACAAATATAAAAAAATAAATGGAAAGCAATGATCGAGATGGATTTTATCAATGAAGAATACCTACCAATAATTATTATTGATAGTTTCCTCTTTCGGCCATACAGAACTTAAAATACATGTAATAGAAGCGCGAAGATACACACATTTTGTTTGTACGGAACCGAATTAAATTTTTTTCGTCTAAGGTGACATTGAATTAAAATCAAAATTTAATTTAACTGAAACGTTTTGAGTGGAATAAATCCAACGATAAAAAAAATTAGACCACACAAGCGCATTAATTTATATAGAACAAAATTAATACTACCTCAAATTTGGTCTGAAGAAATGCAAAAAGTTGCGATAAAAATAAGGACAGCTAAAAGAGATTCGAGCAAAATTTGGTTTGTTTTCATTTGACAGCTGCAGAGCTTTCAGCAAAATAATGATGATTGATTGGTGGCGCCATCTGCCGGGCTTTTCGAGCAATGGAAATAAGAATTATGCAAGGCATCAAAATGAAATAATTCATTTTGCCTTTCTTCATTCGGAGAGTTCACTATGAAATATGAATTTGAAATAATATCTGATGAAAATTGATTGCATTTTGATATTTTAATTAATAAAATTAATGCTCGTCCTCACAAACACAGAATGACACCAAAAATTGCCAGTAAACACCACGGCTTCATTTAATTAAGAAAGAATTCATTGAAGATGAAAACAATACGTGGAAAGCCTAATAGAAATATTAATGGAAAGTACCGATTGGGCTTTTCATTTTTTAATGTTTATTAAACATATTAGCAATAAGACAGAAGATTGTGTTTGGAAAGTTCCGTGACGCGCGCCGTTGGATGTTCATTCTGGCCATGTTTACGCGTCCTGCAACAAGCGCGATACTCCCATTAGCGATTTAATTAATAAAACTCGTCGTTTATTATACCTTCGTGTAGAAAAAGGGCCCTTATCTTAATCTTCTGGCTTCTCTCTCGGACTCGAGGAGGGTGAGAATGTCGCCTTCCCGCACGGGTCCTTTGACGTTGCGGATGATCTGTCGGTTCTGCTCACCGATGAACTCCACCTTGACCTGCGTACACTGGCCCTGGGAACCAGTGCGGCCCAAAATTTTCATCACTCTTGCAAGAACGACGGGCTTTTCCATTTTTTAGTCCTACGGTCTGTTGTCCCACGTGGAAAATGTCAGCCGATGCAACGAAGAGATTTATTTAGCTGGAAGTGACGTCATAACAAAATTGCGCTCATCGTTTGTCGATTGTTTAATTAAGAATACCGGTTAAAGCAAAGCAAAAGTTTTATTTTAAATATTCAAGGCGTTATGAGAGAAATTTTCATGTAAAATTCTAATTAAATGTAAATTTTAAATAAATTTATAAATTTTATTGAATTTAAAATAGCGTACTTTGGACTGGAAACACAAAACGTTTTATTTTAATTTAACCGGTAATTTTAAGGATTATACCGGTTTTGCAAACATTTTTCGCGGCAAAACTATAAAAATTTAGGAATAATAATAAGAATTGGAAGACGAAACATGAACACCTTGCACAAAGTTTTGCTTCACCGAATTTCTGGGCTCCGACAGTGCTTTGCCCTTGGTTTAAGAAATGTCTACACATGCCAAGTTTTATTGGACTTAAAGAAGTTCAATCTCCCCGAAGAGGAGAGCCGAGCGGAGACGAGGTTGAAGGCTCAAGATAAGGTGCCGTCAACGTTCAGACTTGTTTACAGAGCTCCGATGAAGTCCTATGTCATGATGAATCAAGTCACTTCCACTATCGGCGTTGCAGTTATTGGAATTGGAGGAATCTATCGCGCAGCGAACACACTTATGTTGGACCTTCCGATGTCTTCGTTGCTTGCAACAGATGTGATGACACCAGTGGAATTAGGGAGCATTGTCACTATCTCGACAATGTTTCTGGTAGTTTTAATGTACTTCAACCTACGTTACCCACTCAGAATTTACAGATGTGAAAATACCTCCAGGTAAATTAAAAATAAATCCTTTATTATCCGATCCTAATCCACTTAATGTATTTTCAGATACATATACTTGAAGTATGGCTGGATTCCCCTAATGACTCACAAATATGAAACTAGATCTGGCTGCTGGACTGCGAAGAAAGAGTATGATAACTCACAACCTTTACAATTCTACTATGATTCTGCCAACAAGTCTACACTGATTGTCTTTAAACCTTATTTTAGAAGCTCGGATGACTTAGCAGAATTACAAGTCAAGCCAAAAAAAAGTGACGTTAAGAAATAAATTTATCTGTAAAAGTAGGAATTAATTCGAAGTCTGTTCATTTTATTTGTCTCATTATTAAGAATGCAGAATTTGGGCAAAAGAAATATTTTATTGCAGGTAAAATTGTCGAGATGACTTTCTTACTTAACTGATAACTTATGGACAAGTCGTACGTATTGCAAAAGCATGTGTGGAATTAACAATTTGGCCTTCAGTTTATTTAAAATTAAAAAGTTATTTAAATAAAAAAGGACCAATAGGCGTTATTTTACTTTGACAGTTCACATCTAAGCTGTGCGTAGAATTAGGTGAACTCCGGAGTCAGTGAAGACTGGCTCGCTGAGTTCCCCGACATTAAGAGCAAAGGAAGCGTTTTCGAATGGCTTTTGCATGGCTCCTCTTCCGAAAAGCCCCAGATCACCACCACGCTTGGCGGAACTGCAGTCCGAGTATTGTTCAGCCAGTTCGGCCAAAGTTACTTTTCCTGAGACAATTTCATCTCTGTATCCTAAAAAATAAATAAACGCATGTATTTTTGTTTAAAGTAATAAATCTATTTCATAATTAGCCATTTATATAAAGGCATTTAAAAAAATTAATTTTAAGATTAATACCGTTTATAAGCTCGTGAGCTTCCTCCTCAGACCTGGTGATGTTCTCCTCACGCCAGGACGAAGGTCGTCTGGACTTATTGTGCTTTACGAGCAGATGACTGCATTGCACTTTATCAGGTCCTCCGCCGCTGGATGCAGGTTTGGCTGGCTCGGTAGGAGTGTCCCATTGGCTTTCCTTCGTGTACTTGTTTAAGAAATAATGCTGGCCTGAAGAAAAGCAAAAAGAAGTTAATACAAATCGAAAGTTGATTGCAGGGTCGAAAACGCCGGGGCTCAATGAAAGTTCCTTTTAAATGAAATTTTCAACCCTTATGAATAGAATAAAAAGCAACGCCAACCTGTGGACCGGCTAATCCTTTTCTCCCATCCCTCGGGCAGCTCGTCGTCTGACATCTCAAGCGGAAAATTCGCAAATTGTGCCTCTTGGAAGACCTCAAAACCTGGCACCTACTTGTTTATATCGATCCCTTGTCAATCCACGGAAAGCTCTCTTCTGATTAGTCAAGAGAACGAAACTCAAGGATGCCCTGACCTTTTAAACCAATCAGCGCTCGCGATTCAAACGCCGGCTGAAAGAGCGGCGAACAACGCCCACTTTTGCATGCACCGGAGCGAAAGAGGTGGCGCTGAAGGGCGGCAAAAGCGGCGCGCGCCCGCGATCATTGATGTCCTGAGTGCATTTTCGCTCTCGGCACAAGTCGGTGCCTGTCAGTTCGCCTAGCCGAAGCAAGCAGCGAGGCCGCGACGGGCTGGCAGCGGAAAGGCATCGCGTTCTTGTTCTTTCTGGTGCTCACACACAAGGAATTGGTCCCCGTTAGTCACGCCAGACCTCTTCTTCAGCACTCGACGGACGGTTGCATGCGTTCACCCTATAGCTTGGTGAGTGCACCCTTCTCTTCTTTGCATTCCTCTGCTGTACGGCGTGACTTATGATTAAAGGGGGTGCTATCGTGACGGCACACAAAGCAGGGTGGCAATGGGAACGAGCCCGCCGTGATTTACGACCTCCACCCATTTGCGGCGAATGATCTTGACCGATAAATTTTGAATGCGCCCCTTTTATTTGCGTGTGTGTAAAAAAAGCCTTTCTTTTTTACATGAAATATCGTGTTTAATGCTTTTTTTACTTACGGCTTTCCTAATATAGAAACACAGCTATGTTTTCTGCAAAAAAAAAGATTTAATGTCAGCCAAATGTTACTAAATTTTCCTCTTTATAAAAAAACGGCATCAGATTATTTATTTTAAAAGGCTGTAAAAACGTTATTGAGAACCACTGACACTGTTGAGAACGGTTACGTTGAAGCATAATTAGAGATGCGATTAAATTGATGGGATACAGAGTTGATTTATCCCCCCACCCCCCACTTAAAAATACATAATCAAGATGATCTGCAATTAGTGTTAAAAAGCAATTTAAATAATTGCTGCAAATATGCTATTATATTATTCCTATATACAATTATTCTAACTGAACACAAAATCTCACATAGCTTCAATTTTCATTTTTTTAATCAAACAATTTTTATTCTTTATTTTTAGAACTGTCAAACATCGCTTTCAATGCTCGTAAAGTTTTCGCTTCTTCTCGGAGTTAAATATTGGCACTGCTTTTGGAGGTTATAAAAAGGCGACTAAACATACAATTTTATGCTCATGTGTCGTCTGCATGTTTTTTCTACCCCGAAATGACTCAATTGAGCCAATAAAGCTCGAGTCGCTTTTCGGCAGACACGCTCCCAGTGACATCACCCGCGAAATATAGCCCAATACAGTTAGGCGGATAGGATAAGAGCCCAAGTGAAAACGCATGCATAGAAAAAAGACACACTTCTTCATCTTGCTTCAAGGTTCAAATATGTCAAGTTTATTTTGGCGATATATTTTTGCGCTGCTAATTTGGCTCCAAAAAATATCCTTTTTAAAGAGGTGCACTTCTTAACACATAAAAGATGCTTTTTAAATTGTTTAGGAAGAACTTACTTTAATTGAAACTTATATTTAAGTAAAAAATTTAACACAAATAACTATTAAATAACATTTTCCCATGTATTACAATTACTCTGAAATGAAGAGATTGGGCTTTCCTTGTTGCGGAAATTGTTTTTATTAAAAAAAATGACTATACCAGTTTCTATCTTTTGAGATTTTAATTTTTATGTTAAAACGTGTTTTTATTTTGCTGATTTATTGTAGCGACATTTGTTTTTGAATAAAAACAATTTTCACAACGAAGAAAATCTCGATCTCTTCACTTCCATGATCATCGCCTTGGGTGTCAATTTCTTCTAAGAAATAATGTAATTAATTACTAGCGAGATATTTTTGATTTGAAAATATTGAAATAGATAATTTTTTATAAATTTATTCTAAAAATTGAATAATTTTGATTTTACCATAAAAATATTTAGTTTCTTCCAATTTTAGGATCTCCTACTTAAATAGCCTTAAGAGGCATGTAGGAGTTAAACTTTAAATTCAAATATTTTTGCAGCACCTTTGGTCATTTTATTGAAGATTAATTAAAATAAAGCACATTTTCATCTCAGAAAAAGGCACCAAGCAAAAGCCTCTCAAAAAATGATTGTGTGGTAGATCGATTTTGACTTCTATCTAGGGACGATAAAGAGGATAAAAAGCCTGGCAACTCTAAACAAACCGCGCCGGTGCTCATTACTGAATATAAAAATGCATTCAGCCAGCGGAGGAAGAAGAAGAAGGGGTTCTATTTTCGAGTCCGAAACATAAACCGAGAACGAGAGGCGCCTCTGCAAGTCTGCAGCCACCCACGGCTGAAAATATATTCATAATAAGTATATGGTGCACCGGCCGAGGTTTTTATTTTTATTTTTTTTCCTCACTCAAATGGATTTATCAGCGGCACACACTTTTCCGTATCACATGTGGCCGCAGACGAATGGGAAAATATAAACAGTCAATTATTTCGAGCTGGAAGCCTCACATGCTGCACGCAGGGGCGAAGCAAAGAAAGAAAGTATAAAATTAGAAAAGTATAGTGGTGTGCGGCGTGAATTCATTAATGGGATGGAGTTGAAGAGCAACGCCCAGTTATTCGGTTCAACTCTCTCGTCCGCTCGCTCTGCAGAAATCGCAGCCGCGGGTGTCGTAAAAGCCGCTCTACTGCCTCTCGTCTGACCTGCCCTGGTGTGTGTTATATATTTGCCGGCCGTGTTGCAATTAATTGAAGGGCCAGATGGTCAATTTGGGCATTATAGGAGTAATGCTTCCGCGTAAGGATTGCAAATGCGAAATTCGCAATCAACCTAATGCCCCTTTTTTGCTTACTGTCCCCAAGACAGGAGTTTAATATTGTGCCGCCAGCCATGGCTCATTTTTTACTCAATTTCCTTTTTAAAATTAGTTTAGCAGAAAGAGTTTGAAGTTCTTTATAATAATAGTGATGTTTTTATTAATTTAATTTAAAAAAAAAAAAAAATGGAAATCCTGGTTCAATTTTTTTAATTTTTTAGTTTTAGAAATTATCTTTTGGTGGAGCTTAAAGATACAAAAGTGATGTTCCAAAAGTTGCCTTCTAAAAAATTCAGAAAAAGTTTCAATTATTTCTTTCAGGAAAGTAAAAAATTAAAAACAACAAAAAACAATAAAAGTGTCAAGTTTTAATATAAAATTTTAGAAATCTCCCTTTCCCTTATTAATTTTTCTATTTAATTTATTTATTAATATTTAATTTATATTTGAAATTACTTAATACTATGAGCTTAATAAAAAATTGTGTGAAATTTAAATGAATAAAACAGTAAAATGAATTATTTGTTAATTCTAATAACATAATAATTATATTGTTGATCAAAAATACAAATTTGCAAGGATCGTTTGTCACCAGAATAACTTTTGGAGCAAATTAAAATAAAAAGAACTTAATCACTCGTCTTTATTATTATTTATTTTACATTTTTATTAAATTATTTTTTGGAATTTTAGCCCAATCCTCAAATAAGTTCAACGCTCTTTCTCAATAAAAATAATAATCAGACTCTCACTTCTGTCTGAATTAGCAACTCTCCCTCATCTTGATCGATTGCTTTTCCACATTGGCGTTGACGCTGACAAATGGTTGCGTAGCTCTTTTCTCATTCCAAAATCCGCTCTCCCTATTGTGCTCCATTTTTCCTCCCGAAAATGGGTCATTGCTGCAGCATCAACTTTCCGCGCTGCAATTTCCTGCCGTGCTGCAAGGAGAGCCCGAAGGCCTTCGCACGCAGGCCTTCGACAATTCCCGCTCGTCAGCAGTTTTTCTGTATTTCGTGGTCGGAATATGACTGGACCACTTGGTCAGCAAGTCCGCCACCGCTCACATCTGCAGCATGGTCAGCTTTTTTTCAGGGTATGATTTTATTTTATTTTATACACACATCTTCGACCAAATCTCTTGGGTGGATCAAAAGATTTGGAAATGTTGTAGGCTTTTAGCGTGGATGCTGTTGATAGAGAGATGCCCACTTGGCGTTGCCAAACAATGGCATCTTTCACCTTGAGTGACTGGTTTTTGCACCCACTCTATCTTTTCCAACCGCGTCGACCCACACATTATAATGCTTCTGCCTATGCATACATTAGTGATGGGTTTCTCATTACGTGCAGCGAGTGCGAAAATTTATCTCGGGTGCTGCGAACTGGAGACGAACGGCTCGGCTAAAACTGTTTGAAATATTAATTAAGGATATAAGGACGATAATTTAGCCGCTGCTCGCATGAATTGAGAGAGGTTGTGAAATATGAGCGCACCGAAAGCCGCATAATTTAAAAGATGCAGATTGTGTCGCATAAATCTTAATAAATGTCAATTAAGACCAAATTAAGAATTTGACACTTGAAAAGGTAAAATAATATTAGCTGATTGGTTGGAATTTAGTTCTTATATTTAATAAATTTAAAAATTGCAGTCTTTTTATTTGATAAACAGATTATTAAATTTTTTGATAAATTTACATCAATTTAAAATTAAAGTAGGATTTAAGTGGCAAATTATCATGATATTTCTCCTCTGATTGTAACGTTTGCTCACGTTAAAAAAGTTTTCTCACCCTTAAAATTTCAAATTGCATGTTTTGGTATAAATTTGAAATTCTAGTTGGTTAGGATTTTGGATCGCCCTCATTATATTTATTATTTCATCACGTTTGTCCTAAATTTTTGAGTGATATAATAATTTTTTATTCGTTTAAACCGCAAAGGCCATTTTCAAGATCAAATTATAATTTATTGTTACTTTAACGAGGCAATTTATTCCATTATTATATATGATTGTTATAAAGTTTTAATTTATTCAAACATTGCAAAACATACGGTTTTGTTTCATTTTTCACGCACAATCGTGCCGCTCTCGCTGGAAAACAGTACAACAAACGGATAAGGTCATGATTATTATAGAGCTGCCGTGCACAAACAGAAAATTAACGCACTGCTCCGTTGCAAATCCCAAAGCATCAGTGTGACTGACCTGCACCTGATGCCATAAAGGACGCGCGCGCAAGTATGGCGGTGCGGCGGCGGCTCTGGAGCGACGGCTTCTGCATTCGAATTAGCCGCAAAGCCATCGCAAACAAGCAATAATCACGTTTCTATGCGCGATTCAATGGAGAGGCCTTGATTCGTCCGAGGCCTCTGACGCAAAATCGGCGAATCGTAAAAACGAAATGGAAATTCGCAGCGCCAAACGGGGTTTCACTTTAATTTGACGCTTTGTGTTTGATGAATATTTTATGCAAGTCTTTTATTTTTTGGCAACCAAACGCGCAAATGGGACTTTTCGGAATAGTTTATTTTGGCGCTGCTGCAAAAGCGATTTCATTTCTAGCGAAAATGTAAATGCTTTTGAAGCGCGATACAAAAATATT